AGCATAGCCTTGATCTTTCAGTGGGGGCTTTGGGCAAAGTGGGGTTAAGTGTCTTGCCCAAGGACACAACGACAGCAGTCATCAGTGGGAGTCGATGGAGAAGGTGCAGAGGTGGGAATTGAACCCACAACCTTCTGGCCTTAAGGCCAATGCTCTACCAACTGAGCTACTGTCGCCCCCTGAGTAAAACTAGTTGCCAAAAAGTAGAACATGGGCAACTGACTGAATCCGGAGATCGACTGTTTATCTCCAGTTGTAAGAGCGCTCACATTGACCGATTTCAACTGATCATCTCCATCATCTACTCCCAGTTGCCAAAAGCCGCCTTGCAACTAGTTGTCTCTAGTTGTCTCTCTGTTTTTGAAATCTCTAGAAGAGATTTCAAAAACAGAGGATTTTTCAGAGACAGGACAATGTTATTGCTGATCCAGATTGTCAATTTTCCTACGATAAGGAGGATTCAGAGGACGAATCTTTGGTCAAAGAAGAGGAAGGGAGGAAGGAAGGAAGGAAGGAAGGAAAGAAGGGAGACAGGAAGGAAGGAAGAGAAAAGAAGGGAATATAGAAGGATGAACAGAGAGAAGGAAAACAGGATGAGAAAAAGGAAGGAGAAAGCATGGCAGGAGGAAAGAAGGAGGGAAGAATTGTCATTTTGACCCGAGAGGAGGAATAGAAGATTAGACTAAATAATTCTTAAATATAGTGTTGGAATTAAAAATGTATTGTATGTCACTTTTCTAAATATTTATATAACCCAAAATAAAGTTGTTATTGGTTTAACCTGTTTTCTTGACTGTTTTGAGTGCATTTACACAGTACGGGTCAAAATGACCCGCAACATAATCAATGTCATTTTTTTCCAACATAATACAAGGGTTAAGTCTATGCATCTAAATCAACATCAAATGTGCCAGTTTTAGATTCAACATTTCAGTTTTCAACTGTAGTCCATGGAGAAGGTGAAGAGATGCCACCAAACTTGAAATGTAAGAATAATCCATGAATATCTAATAGTGCACAAATTAGACACTGTGACAACACACATTTGACACTATAAAAGCAATATAAAATACATAGCTTTTTTTTTTTATCTACTAAGTGCATAATATCACACTCCTCCAGATCTGGTCTGAATGTCACTACTAAATATAGCTCCTTTCCAATTGACACTTTCCAATCGGGATGACCAGTGTACCCTTTACAAGGCTTCCTATTAGCCTGGAAACGTAGAGAGATAAAAGCAATGGAGGAACATAGGGATAAAAGGTTCTAATATGCAACTGTCTTTGTCACGTTATATTTTGACTTTACATTATGTGACCTTCACTTCTGAGATTCCCAACTTTTTTTCTTGCGTCCTTCTTCCCCTTTTCTTATTCTATGTTTTATGTCCCCCATTTCAGATTTTGATAGGGAGTCTCGAGTGAATCCGCTGTTCCCTCCTAACCTATACACCTTAATATATATGGTTATACAGATGTGCCAAGTCTAATGACTCTGAATGGCATTGATAAATAACCTTTGTGATAAAATGTATCACTTTTTAGGTTCTCACACGTGCGCGCATTTACATGGGTTTGTATGTGTATGTGTGTGTGTGCGTGTGTGTGTATGTATGATGGAGTATTACAAGGTGTTGTCAAGAAAGCAATTTGTTCCTGTCTCAGATGGGTTTTTTATCATGACAAATCGACGTGAACCTCATCTTGGAATCTGCCGTCTCCCTGCACTCCCGCTGATTTTACCATGGACCGCTCTTTCAACTTTAATATGATCAAGTCATAGCCACAACATCCGCTAGACCCTCCCCCCCCCCGAAGGCACATGCTGGTGGATTCTGTGACCAAAATGTCTGCGTGTGCAATGTTGTGAAGACTAAGATGAGATAAGAGAGTCCGACGAGGAAGGGGTCTGCACAAGACAGTATGACTGATTTTGAAAAGGGCAGCAATCATGGTTACAATAATATAAACATGTAAGACCCCTAAAATTATTCAGTATCAATTTACCTTTGATCGTACCAATCTCCTGAGCTGCTTGGTCCGTTTTGATTGGATTAAATTATCACAGTATGGAGATTGTGATTATCATTCAAACGCCATGTTCAGGGTTCAGGGCTTACTTTTTACCATCCACCATATTTTGGTCCGTCTCTGTATCCCCTGAATGAAATAATTGTACAGGTCTCCAAAACGCAGACATGTTTTGTATGAGATGTGAATAAACTGAAAGCTCTTTAGGAAAACGGTCATTAACTATATTTTACTAAAATGGAAGAATGCTAACAAACGTTTATTTTAGACGTTTACCAGTCAAATGCATAGGACTAAAGAAAGTGGAGGTGTGTGGATCTGCTCCATAGAACAATTGAACTTTTTGAGTTTGTGTATGTGTGGTTAGGGTTTGAAAACACAATAGAAAATGATAAAACACATATTGTAAACTGTTGGGGTTTTTTTCTCTTCCTACTCGTCTTTGCGAACAAAAGTAATTACTATACTTTACATTACTCAAAAGAAAGAACACATTGCAAATGTGAATCAAACAGAGCAGATCCAACAGACCGAATGAAAAGGGCTACCCAATTTTAGCAACATATCTAATTGTGATATTTGCGACAAACATTGCGATTGTGATGCAAATATTGATAAACCGTATGTTTTTGTTAGAATTATAAATAAGAGAGTTTAGAGCTAGTTTAGAGCCCATCACAATATCTTCTCCACCGACTCCCACTGATGTCGGCTGTCGTTGTGTCCTTGGGCAAGACACTTAACCCCACTTTGCCTGAAGCCCCCGCTGAAAGATCAAGGCGTCACTGACAGAGCAGCCGTCCTCCTGCGGACTCACCACCTGCAGGATGATCAATGAGGGGCTGGTGCTCTACGAATGGGTTGCAGCTCTGATTGCCACCCCCCGACCCAGAAATGGATTAAGCGGAAAAAAATAGATGGATGAAGTTCTAATTTATAGCACAAGAAGTATTGTAATATTCCCTGGAAAAAGTTAAAATCTATATATACAGTAAGGACTTTGTAATGTAGTTTGTATCTACATTGGATGGATTGAAAGGGTTAATGAAGTTAAGTTTCTGGGCGTTGTCTTAGATGAGAAACTTAATTGGAAAGCTCACATAGACTATGTAAAGAAAAAAATTGGTAAAACTATTGGTATCTTGTACAAAGTGAAAGATTTATTTGATTGTAGCTCGTTACATATGCTGTACTGCTCACTGGTTCTCCCATATTACAGTTACTGCACTGAAATCTGGGGTAATACATATAGCACCAACACCAAACCCTTGTTTTTGTTGCAAAAAAGAGCTATAAGAATTATTCACAATAAACATTATAGAGAGCATACAAACATCTTGTTTATAGCATCTGGACAACTCAAGTTTAAGGATATTGTTGATTTGAAAATCTTGCTCCTTGTGTGGAAAGCTAAACAGAAAATGTTGCCCAATTACTAAAATGCAACAACAGGACTGAAGCTACTGGCTTGTTCTATCGATTCATCTTAAACTCATATCAAGAGCAATATTCCCAAATTGATCGATCTTTAGTCCCTTTCTTGTTTGCATAGGACTTCTCTAATAGCAGTCTTATGTGATTTGATCAATGCGGCCACACAAATGTAGATTTTGATGTCCTTTTTTGATTAATCGTGTTGCCCTATTCACATTATCCGGCTGATGTCATGAAGCTTATATCACCTGTATCAAAGCACGGGCCTCCATTGTGTTGCTGCTCTCATTTTTGCGGTGATAGATGGCGCAGACGAATGTCACATGAAGTGCTGGAAAATGAGCCTGACAGTGGCCCTCTGGAGTGCTGCCTCGGCTTTGGCCTTTACCCCCCTCCTCCCCCTTACCTCCATTCTCTCTGCGACACACACCTACTTTTTGTCCTACCTACTGTATCCCCTCGCACAACTGCAATTTCGTCTACTTGCTCTTCAATACAGATAAGTGTATTGTTCTGTACGGACGCTTTGATCAATGTCTGCTTGGATTTCTGTGTCATCATTCTTTCTTTCGCTCGCGGTACAAAGCCCGTACAATTTGAATTATGTAACAGAGAACGAAACGCTGCCCGACGTTGTGTGCTATCTGAAATATATATACTTTAAATATTATTCCTCTTAGTCATCTGGCTCAGTTATAAGTGAATGCATAATAATGTTAAAGCAGGCTTGACGAGCCTGCATGCTAATGTGTTGAATTTGAATCAGTGAAAAGAAAGAGCTGATGATAAAATCGCGCTATGTAAATGTTCCTTCATTCCATATTAGGAGGATAGCCTTGATATTGGCCGTACATGACAATTTGCCTGCCCTCTGCTGGGCACTGCTCAGACCTCCAGTCACCTGCTAACCTGCCACCCTGTGTGTGCTCTATCATTCTAAATGAAACATTTTGTTCAGGCATGTTGTGTTTATTTTTGTGAGCCAATTCCTCTTTGAAGGTTGCCCTCAGCCTGTCATTTACAATAAAGAAAAATCACATAAAAACCCTTGACAGTGGCTTTTGTGTTTGGAACAGGCACAATTGGCTTTTGCGGTTTCTTGTCCTTGCTGCTGTTTCGCCGTTGCTCTTTTTAGCATCATTACATGGACGCAAGCATGTGAGGGTTGACATATTGCTCCGGTGTCCTTTGCCCTCACCTCCTCCCTGCTGGTGCGCTCATCTCTCCCCATCTCACTATGGTTCCTTATTTGCCTCTTTCTCCCCTCCTCCTGCTCCCCCTACACCACCTTTCTTCCTTTTCACTTCATGCTTGCTTGTCTTCTCCTCTTGCCACCTGCTCCCTTGGGTCCCCCGCATCATACATCTCCCTCCTTTACATTTGATGCTTTTGCACATCCACATGATTGTCACTTTTTTTTTCAAAGTGTAGACTTTCATTTCAACGCCCCCATTCTACTAGTATTCGTTCCCTTTCCCTTCTTGTTTTGCAACTACCTCTCTCGCATCCCCTTTCCCTCCGACCGTCTGCTGCTTATTCGCTATAGCCGCCACCGTCATCTCCCACCTCTCCACTACCACCACCCCCCCAGACTCCACCGCACGCTGGAGGAGAGCTAGAGCGGGCGAGCGAGGCAGAGGAGGGGAGGGAGAGGAGAGATAGTGCATGTGCTGCTGTTGTATCCAGTGTGCTCTCAGTCTCAGCTCTGAGCGTTTCGAGGATGGAGTCGCGACCACAGCTTTGCATCGCTTGGCTCAAAGGCACTTTCTTTGGCGCGCGCTGTCCCTCCCCATCCGCTTGCTCCCTCGTGCCGTCGCTAGCCATGATGTGTGCCGGATCAAGCGTGAAAGAGGACTGAGGACTGAGAACAGAGGGAGAGGAAAAAGAGCCCGCCGGTGTCTTGAATAAAAAGAAAAGAAGAGGAGGAGGAGAGAAGAAAGCCGGCGCTCGCATATAGCATTGGTGTTGCTTTCTTCTTCTTTTTTTTAATTAAATACACATTGCAATTGCTGCACGTGCATCTGCGCCAACTGTGTGTCCTCGCTCAGCTCCAGATTCCCCGGGAGAAGAGTGGGAAAAAAAAACAAAAAAACTAGTGGAGCAACCAAGGACGTGAGGAAAAACCAAACAAGAAGAAGGACTTAGTAAGCAAAGGGAAGAGAGAATAGAAGGCAAAACATTGAGAATCAGGAAAGAAGGACTCTTAAGGGAGCGGAGAGGAGGAGAGGAGACACGGAAAGACACAGAGTCAAGTACGGCGCCATGCATCACTCGGGCACGGGCAGAGCCAAGACCCTCTCGCATGAGACAGGTAAGACCCAGAGTCACCTCTAAAGCGTGCACCTATTGTCTTTGCCAAACAATAGTAGTTTGCCAAGTCAAGCATGGTCACATTAAAGTGAGGGGTAGAGGTGGGGGGGGGTCTTAAATAATTTCACATGATTTCAGCTTATAAATTTTGGATTTGAGCGCTCTGAGGAATGTAGGTTAGTCCACGGATGGATGTGATGTATGTATGTTATGTATGTGTGTGTGTACAGGGCTGTATACGCATGGACGCCAGAGCAGAGGGAGGGGGGGGGGATCAAACGGCATACATTTGAATACGACTTGACTTTGATGTGTGCTGGAAGTTATGACCGCTGTCCCTCTTATGTCGCTCCTCTTCGTATTCTGCATGAGTCAGTGTTTGCCTTATAAATTCAGTTTGTGTAGCTGCCCTTAGCTTTTTGAGTATTCCAATTGATGGTAATTAGGCTGATTGACAGGCAGATGATGGCGCTAATTTAGAGCGGGGGAAAAAAAAGAAGAAGAAAAATGTCTAGGGCCCACAGGTTGACTTGTTCCACTTGAATCTGTAATTTATTCATGTGTGTGTTCCTTAATATTTACAAGGTTATTTTTCACTTATTTGCCTTTCAAATTTCACCCTGATGAATTGATTGAATATTTAAGATGCCAAGTTGGTTATCATTTGGAAATCAAAGTGGTCTGATGTGTTTCATGTTGGAACAGCGGGGGGTTATCCGTCTCCGCGTCAGTTTAGCAGACAAAAAGCTTTCAAAAGTCACTGTCTTTTGAAGGTATTTACTTGTATGCGTGCGGTATAATAGTTGTTTGATTGCCTTGTGGGCGTGAGGGGACTGCTAGCACTCGTCAAGCTAATCAAACAGCAACCCACTGACAATCACAACGTGGCACAACCTCCTCTTTCTCCACACATCTGCCTGCAATCTGAACAAACATTTTATCTATTTTGCATTTACAAACCAGGCAGGTGTGCGCTTTTAGGAATGTCTTTTAAAAGATAAAAGCCACATTGTCTAGAGGAAATAAAGACCCTTACACTCAAGATTCTCCAATTGTCCACATCACATTCACAGCCGCCTCGACACCTCCCCGCACGCACATCTGTTCCGCGGATAGGGCCCAGCGGTTGATAAATGCTCCGTTTCTGATTGCCGTGGATGTGATTGGCATGGCAGAGCCGTTGCCATGGTGACTAATTAGAAGGGTCCTGATTGGTGGTTGATGGGGTGCCTTTATGAAGACAGATGTAAGATCCGTAATGCACTTCCTGTCTCTTGCACATCAGGTGGTGGTGGGTTTCTATTGGTCGATGGAACCCTCACGCAAAGCCGTCAAACAGTCTTAGACGGATGTCATGTGCCGATTTGTGTGGATTTTGCGATGAAGCAAAGCAGGTTAAGCTAATCATTCATATTGGTTTGACTAAAGGGAATTATTGAAAGCGTGAACAGGACTTTTCCCAAGTTAACAAATTATTTTTCCGCATCTCATGGATCGCTGCTCGAAATATCTTGTTTCAAGAGAGGAAGATAACACCATTTTGGTTTTGTTTTACTTAGTTATAACTCTTTGCAAACTTAACTGAACCCTTTGGCACCCAGAGCTTTTTTAGACATTTGATACTGTATGACAAAAAACTTCTACAATCTACAGCAGAAATGTACAAAAGAAACATATGTGAGAGAACGTTTGTGGGAAGCAAAGTCATTCTATAGAAAGTAGCCTTGATTCAGAAGCTTGTACAGTATAGTTGGTCTACTTCTTTGGCCCCCTGAAGAACACCTAAGTATTATTATTATTCTAGCTACAAATTAGATCACCGAGAGGTCTAATGTGTCAGTCAGATTATGATGATTGCTTGATTATATTCATCATCTATGTTAGTACATATTATGTTGTTACTAGGGTCACCGTCAACTCTGACAATAGTGCATCCTCATTATTTTACCCACACCTAGGACTCTAAACATTGCTACATGCTGCACTAATGGCTAAATTAGCAGCAGCCCTGAGCTATATTTTCAAATGACACTCTTAGTATGTAACGGTAAACAAGCGCGGTGTGGATTAGCCATAGGCCATGTGAGGGGGAATAGGTGTCACCAAGTCCATCTGTACACTCAGGCACCAACAGTGACACCACCCCCCCCCTTTTTTTTTTTTTTTTGCCCACGCTTCTAAACTGTGGGCCCAGACAGGTGCGCACAAGGCCACGCAAAGCAAATAAAAACCACCATAGTGAAAACAAATGTAACTTTAATTTGCAGCAATTAAAATGTTGAAGAGAGCAAAGTATGGCAGCGATTGTAGTTTGGCCGAGTCTTTTGTTTCCATTGTATTAAGGTTCCTATTCATTTTGACAGTTCATAGCAGTTTTACATAATAATAGGAGAGAAGTAGTGATATTTCAATTACGTGTCATTAAAAACAATGCATTTCCTCGCTTCAGGTCACTTAACAAGGTAATTATGTAATGTAACCATAGCTACACTGCTGAGATTTCGGATCGGGATGTGACAAAGTGTTATTTATACATGCAAAACAGCAGATGTGCAGCCATACAAAACAATAGTGTTTGTGAAAGTCGGTAAGTGACTTGAACAACTTTTCAACCCATCTCTCACGAAGCGGTTTCATTTCAACTCAAATTTAACAATCCATCATTCCATAGACGTTGGGACTCTCTGCATCCGTTTGAAGAAGTTTTCCATCTTTGGCCTTCGTTTTGCTTTATTCCGCCAAAATTTATAATACGACATAGAACTACAAATAATTTTAACAGCCACAATATCTTCCTCTTATTAGAAAACATATTTTGAATACTTGAAAGATAGATGTGAGTCACAATTGACTTTTTGGGTTGAGAGCTTTTTGGGCAGGGCAAATTTCCTGTCTTAAAAAAGCTTAACCCTAACCCTCTAGATATGAAATAGAGGCCAAAGATACATGTTCAAAAATAATAGTGATAAAACAAATATATTTAAAGAATGAGGAAGTAGTTGGAAGTGTGTTACCTTTTTAGTTCCAAAGTAAGGTTCCCTAGCTTTAACAGCATTGTACATTCTTATCAGAATCCATCCACAATAGGTTTAAACCGCCGTCATATAACATTGCAGCGATTCCAGATTTGACACCACACATTGCCAGACATCACATATGCCGGGATTAGAGGGCTGTGAGCTTTCCCCTCTGCTCAACTCCATCAGTCTGTCTCGGCCTGTCTCTCTCAGTCAAGCACCAGCTCCACCTAATGGCCTGTGCCGGTACTGAATCACACACACTGACACTGACTGACACACACACACACGCGCACACACACATATGACACAAAATGGCTGTGTCCCATTGCAAGAAGGAGCGAGCGGCTGCTGTAGTTAGAAGAAGAAGAAAAAAAAGCACTCAGATAATGACTGTGATTTTGGGTTGGGGGGTGATTTTATTGGACTGTTGGTGACACAGAAGGGGAAAGGAGAGAAAGCAGGGGGGGAAAGGTGATTGGAAAAGACAGAGGGGGAAGAGGAAAGGAGAAAACTGTAATTGAAGAAGATGTTTTTTGTCAGCGCTAGACAAATAAGCATGTGCACGAGCAGATGGTAATAAAGTTCTGTTAGGAGGCACACATACACCGGTCCACACATGCACAGTATAATCAGGGTACTGGGCTTAAAGTCATTAAGGGGTACCTCAATGTGGGCACATGGAGGTTCATTATTAATAAATCAACAAAAGTTAAAAGCGCAAAACTGAAGCAACATTTCAGCTTCTTATATCGACACATTTTCTAACCCAATCTGTGTTGCGTATGCACAATAAGCAGAAATAGCAGAGCCAAGGCAATTCTGGTTTGATTTGTATATTTATAGAGTTCAGAATTTGTGTTTTTTTGTTAATAAAGATACAAATTTGTCTCTGAAATTTCCATATGCTGGTCACTCGCCTCTTGCTGCCTTTTTCGCTCTGTCCATCTGTCATATTCTGCCTGTTTCCACTTTTTCTCCTTCTGGCTTCACTCCAGACACCAGCCGCATCTCTTACATCCCTCTACCTTAGGGGGGGGAAAAAATACCCAAAAAAAGCAATTGAAAAAATCTGCTTTCCAGATTTTTTAAAAACAATATTCTCAAAGACTCGCTTTAGCACCAGACTGTGATGGGAAGCATGAGCCTTTTCTGAATACGGCCATATATACGTTGGATTACCCACATTCTTTTCTTCTCTTTTCATATTTCCGTCTTTCCCCCACACACCCTCTGGAGCGTGTTTTGTCCTCACAGCTCAAGGTCAGACAGAAGATTGCTTTTAGCCCCCCGTGTCCCCTCCGCTGATGCGACAGGCTTTATTGTCGGGACGGCGCCATAGCTATACGCACGTGCATTTGGGTGTAATAACACAAAGCTTTGAATTGAAGGGAGGAGCCGGAGGAGGCAGGGCGGCGATGGCAATTTATGATGAAAGAGAAGTTCTATAGTCATTCTCCCCTCGCTGTCCATAAAAGAGCAAAGGCTTTATTAGAT